TGTTTTATCTCTTAAAATTAATCAACACACTTGTGTTTCAAATTTTTAAAAGAGGAACTACGTGTACCCTGATCCCCTATTGCACGAAAGGTGGTACGTAGGCACTAAAGGTTCGCAACCGCGGCGGGTGCAAAAATCATAAAAAAATATATTTCTCTTCTCACCTCCACCATCCATTTTATAAACAACACATTTTTATAGCCAAAATATACAAATTTTTCAAAGAGGTTCCTGCGGAGTACAGTAGATGTTTAGGGTGCTAATACCTTCCCTTTGCATAACCAACCCCCTTACCTTGAATCTTTCCCCTTTTTTTGGGTTATTCGCTCTTTTCCCATTCCTCTGAAAACAATAAAGCACGGTGGCGATTTTTATTTTGATTTGTATAAAGTCTAGTAAATCTAATGGCTTAGTCTTGAACATTTCTACCGCCACACCATCATCATCAAACAACAGGATCAACACCATCTTCCTAATTTAGCCATTAATTAGGAATAACCACGCAGATATGGATGATCACAGATTTTAATCAAACTTATTGATAAGTGCCTTTATGAGTGGACTTGAGATAGATCTCAAGTATCTTTGGCAACTCCAATAAATAGATTGAAATTGTCTCATGCGTATCACAGCATCATAAGATGCACTTCAGAAAGGAACAAGCCTTTCTATGTTCTCAACGCCAGTGATACACAAATCACCAAGAGTTTTCCATCAGATATATATGCAGCGGGACACAAACCAGAAAACTCCTCAACAACCTTCAGGCAAAACATACACAAACACCATAATCCAGGTGCCAACAACATAGTTTTGAAAATAAATCAAACCCAAGACAACTCTCCACCAAAGCTACACGTCTGATAACAGATAGATCTAATACGCACCCTGTCATGAATAGTCCATACTCCACTTCAAGGGACCACTAAAACAACAATATGAACTTGTCCAAGTTCAAACAAATTTTCAATAAAAACTCATTCCTTGCCCATGACCAGAAAGTATTTTCCCAAGATCTCACCCAAAACAGAACAGGATGCATGCTCAGATACCAATTGAAATTCTGGTAAATCAGATCACAGAAGTCCTATAGGATGTCGCGGCATCTGTTCTTACTAAAACAAACATGGTAAGGTATAACAAACAAAAATAATACTGAAAGGTAAAACAACACACAGAATTGTTAACTCAGTTTGGTGCAAACCAACACTTACTCTGGGGGCTACCAAGCCAAGAAGGAAATCTACTAGATAATATCAATTCAAAGTTAAACTAATCCCAAGTTTACAACTTATCACTTAATCACTACCTTGTGCAACTTCTACCTAGGTCCTCCCTAGATATGAGAAATCTCATCTCACCTCCAATCATCGCAATGATGTCTAATAGTCCCTGTCCTGGTTATTGTATCGACGAACTCTCACCTAAATGAAGATCACACTTCAATTACAAAACAAACACCTTAATCAAGATACCCCTTGATTCATAACAACATACTTGATCTTGCTTCACAGCTTTAATCAAGAAGAATACTTAGAGTTGCTTAACAACTTCCTCCAAGAACAATACTACCTCTTGCTTAAAAGCTTCGAGGAGAACAATAATAGATATTACAACTTTGTAACACAGTCCAACTCACAACCCGAGTGAATCACACAAACCAACTCTCCTTGAGAGCAGCACAATGACAAAGCCCTAATGATTCTACATCATGGACTCGTACTCTTCTAGGTTACAAACACTTCTTTTTATAACTTTTTTCCAACTGGATTTGAGCTTCAAAAACGCAACAGAGAGGTTGTATAAAGTCTGCAAATTCTTCTCCAAGAAAACAGGTCTTCGATCATTAGTTTCCTAAAATGTCTCCATATTTAGAAACTTTATATTTCTTCTAAAACCAACATAGAATCTCTGACTTGTCAATCTTGGATGTCACATAAGCTAACTAAATATTCCTTGGATATTCAGTAACTAACATATCAGCTGAAATGTAATTATCAGTTGCTGCATTTGTGATGTCTTATCCTCTTGGTTGGGATATCTTATTTGACATGTTGAAGCCTCTGCAAGTTGGAACATCTTGGTCAACATGTTGCTGCCAAGTTGGTTTTACCAAAACGTATGTCAATCATAATTTCAGAGAAATAACAGTGTGGAGTATGATTTGGCATTCTATCTTAGTAGAGTCACTCTGGGGAGAAACACTAAAGACTGCAGCTTACATTCTAAATAGAGTACCAATAAAAGCAACTTCTAAAACACCTTATGAGCTTTGAAATGGGAGAAAACCTAGTCTAAAATATTTTCGTGTGTGAGGGTGTCCAGTTGAGGCAAGGCCTTATAAACCAAATGAAAAGAAAGTTGACTCCTGAGTAGTGAGTAGCTACTTGATTGATTATTCTGAATGATCTAGAGGCTACAAATTTTGTGATCTCAAATTAAACTCAATCTTTGAGACGGAAACATTTGCATTCTTTGAGTATATTGAGTTTGGGGGAAGAATAAGGTTAAACACTTTACTTTGGGAGAAGAATCGGTAACAAATCCAGAACCAAATTCATATAGTTGCTTTTGATCAAGCAAGTATAGAACCTCCACAAGATATTGTTGATTTTCCTCCTACTCAAGATGATTTGATAATTCATGAAGAACAAACTCAAAATCCTCAAGTACGAGTGTTACAAGAACCAATACCTTTGCGAAGATCCACTAGAGAAGGGAGAAATTTCATTTCGGGTGATTACATAGTCTTTCTCCAAGAACGTGAGAAAAATAATGGTATGATGGAAGATGTTCCAATCAACTTCCGTCAAACCATGCAGGATTCCAACTCAAAAAAGTTGATTGAAGCAATGAAAGAGGCATATAAGTCCATGCAAGACAATAAAGTTTAGGAACTTGTCCCATTACCAGAAGGTGTGAAACCCATTGGTTGCAAATAGATTTTTAAGACCAAGCTGGATGCTAACGATAATATGGAGAGGTATAAAGCTCATCTTGTGGCTAAGGATTATATCCAAAAGGAAGGGATTGACTTTAAAGAGACTTTCTCTCCGGTTTCATCGAAAGACTCTTTTAGAACAATCATGGCTCTTGTTGCACATTATGATTTGGAACTCCGTCAAATAGATGTCAAGACGATATTCTTCAATGGCAACGTTGATGAAACGATCTATATGGTGCAACCAGAAAACTTTGTGTCACGAGACTCAAAGAATATGGTTTGCAAACTGAAAAAATCCATTTATGGACTAAAATAGACGTCTCGTCAGTGGTACCACAAGTTCCATGAAGTAATTCTCTCATTTAATTTTGAGGTGAATGTTGTTGAAGATTTTGTGTATCACAAATTCAGTGGGAGCAAGTACATTTTCTTTGTCTTGTATGTGGATGACATACTAATTGCCGCTAATGATATAGGCGTGATGCACGAAACCAAGAAATTTTTGTTAAGAAAATTCGAAATGAAAGATCTTGGTGACGCCTCCTTTGTATTAGGAATTCAGATACGCCGAGATCGATCTCTAGGTCTTCTAGGATTATCAAAAAGGAGCTATATCGAAAAAGTACTAAAAAGGTTTGGCATGGAGGAATGTAAACCAGGGGATACCCCAATTGATAAGGGAGACAAATTTAGTCTTAATCAGTGTCCAAAAGAAAACTTAGAAATTCAAGAAATACAAAAGATTTCTTATGTGTCAGCAGTAGGGAGTCTGATGTATTCCCGAATATGTGCGCGTCCGGATATTGCATTCATAGTTGGAATGTTATGCAGATATTTGAACAATCCAGGAATGGATCATTAGAAAGCATTCAAAAAGGTTGTGAGGTATTTAAAGGAACAAAAGACTATGTGCTCACATATATGAAGTCAAACCAGTTAGAGATCATTGGATACTCTGACTCGGATTTGTTGGATGCCAAGATAGCAAAAGATCCACTTCAGGCTATATATACATATTGGTTGGTGGTGCAGTTTCTTGGCACAGTGTCAAGTAAACTCTTACGACTTCATCCATCATAGCAGCAGAGTTTATAGCATGTTATAAGACATTCAACCATGAGATTGACTACGAATTATGAAAAGAATTGAAAGACCACTTAAGTTATTTTGTGGCAATAAATCAGTCTTCCTATACTCCAACAATAATAGGAGCTCGACCAAGTCAAAACATATTGACATCAAGTTCCTAATTGTTAAGGAAATAATACAAAGTGAACTGATTTCAATAGAACACTCGGGATCAAACTCCAATATCTTCTTACAAAATGTCTCCCATCCAAGATCTTTGTCTTCATTATTAATGTCATCAATACACTAAAGGTAGATCCATTCCCGTTAAAGTGATAGAGGATGGCTCCAATTTTGCAAATATGTGGTTTTTGTTTTCATTATTAATGTCATCGATACTCTTTAGTTTAGCAAGGAATCAAGTCAAGTTCATCGACACTCAATATTGGCTTTTCTTCTTTTGAAAACCATTTTTAAGGAAAATCAGTAAAACGAGCTTTAAAACAAACCAGTTCAAAAGTAATTCAGTCCTAATAAAGAAAAAGTTCCGATGAATAAAACCAGTTTAAAGCTGGTTTGAGAAATTAATCAGTTTTTACTTGTAGTAATCTTTAAGAACCGAACCAAATCTTTAATGTACTCCAAAACTCTCCAAATGAGGAATGAATGGGGCATTAAATGTGCAAGATACCAAAAAAGAAAGAATACTAATAAAATATGCAAATGCATATTTTAACCATCATTTCACCAATAAAAAACTTACAATAAGAATAAATTAACTATATTTAATAGTATATTGTAGCTTAACAAAAAGGTGTATTAAAAGAATAAACACCTTAAACAATTTCTCTACACAAGAAAAAAAATCCCAGTCAGCCATAAAAACCAGAAGTTTTCAGAACCAAACTAACAAAGAATGTACCCAAATCAGAAGTCATGGTCTCTACTATAAAACCTGTAAGATATTTAGTATTAGTTTAGATCATTGTCATTCATTTTTCTCTGGCACTTCCATCTGAGGAGGTAACAGATTTAAGAAGCTCCCTCTAGCAGGTTGATTAGAAGAAGCCTTGGCTGATTCATCATCTGTATCATACAACAAAACCATTTCAATCATATCGTCAATATTTTTATTACATAGAAAGACATATGAATGTCCGCAAATCCTAGTTCAACTGGCAGAAGCTGATATTGCTAGATTGGACATAATCATTAGGGTTCTAACCCTGGTACTCACGGTTATGTGTGAGTTTCTAGTGGTTATTTGTTATTACCACTTCGTTTACATACCAAAAACAAGACATAAGAATAGGAAAATAGCAATGATATTCTTACCAAATAAGGACTTAATAGATGGCCTTTTCGGTTTCGTTTTCTTCTTCAATTCAGCTGATAAAGTAATCATACCCAAATTACTTAAAGAACATTGCAATGATGAATGTATTAAAAATAAAAGTAAGAGAAAGAGAGATAAAAACATACCAATTCCAGGTATTACACTTTCGCCCACAATTTCTAAATTCTTGTATGTGTAACCAACAAAGTTAATATCTTTAGACGGAAGCATCTGCAACAAATGAAGAACACCACTTGGTCAGCATCTTATAAACCCCGACATAACGAACACACTAATAAGTTTTCCATTCAAAATTGGAATAAGTCGATGCAAAATAGAATAAAATCCATAAACGGTAAAATATCAGGTGCTAGGGAAGAGTCAGAACCATTGTCGATCAATAATAGAAAGGCTTATCTTGCACTGGTAAAATATATTTGCAAGAGGCTGATTTAATTAATCCAAATAGAAACTCGTAATAACTGAGATTGAAAACCATAATATAACGCAAAACTAATAGCCCAAATTCTCCACCGGTGATATTAACAAGTAGTATAATTACAGCAACTCTTGTAGAATTATAGTTTTGAATAACAACAACCAACCTTTCTCCACGGCCCTGCCTTTGAGGAAGGTTCAGTTTGCTTGTCCGCCTACACATGATTGGTAAATGGAGCATAATACTATTTCGTGACAAAAGATAATAAACTTTCCGTGTTGATCAACGTAAAAAACAGATAAGATACCTCTTCAAATTTCTCAAAATTTTGAGTATCTAGTTCATCATTGACCTCAGGCATAAAAGCAGCTTCCATTTGGTACAACTTGTCCCATTCAACGCCTTTGAACCATGCGTGAGCCTGGAATTAAAACGATCAATAACTTATCAGTTAAAATGCAACAATATCCCAAGTACATTACAGAATTTAGTAGGGAAAAAAAACACAGCACAACACCTTTATTTCATCAGCTCCTTTGACTCCCAGCCTCTGCTCCACATTACATAGGAGTCTGCAAATAAGATCCTTTGCATCTGGTGATAGTTTAGCTTCTTCTGGAAATTTTAAAGTTGTTCTCCAATTTACAATCTGCGTATTGAAGGTGAGATGGAATATTATTACCGTTATAGACCGAAAATGATACGATAAAAGGAATCCGTGCAGGAAATCAACATTGTTATATTATTATGAATAGTTTATGTGCAAAAGACCAATCATTCGAATAAACTATGTGATGCAATCCATCAAGAGGAGTTCTAGAGTCCAGTTACCTTTCTACAAGTTGCCATTGGTTCATCCGAATAAAATGGTGGATACCCCACAAGCATTTCATACATTATGGCTCCTAGAGACCACCTGGAAGCATTGACACGAAATCAGAATGTATTCACAGAATAAATACAAAGGACAAGAAGTAAAAAACATATACTATGCCGGGCAGAATATGTTATACCAATCACATTCTACACCATATCCTCTCTTCAACAGAACTTCTGGAGCAATATAATCAGGCGTACCAACCGTAGAATAGGCCTGTAATAATATTGCAACGATAGAAAAGCTTAACTTGCCATCGATGATGATCAATCTATGTCGAGCAACCATACACTCACAAGGTAGAATAGACTCTGAATGACAAAATAGCAGCTTGATATATGATGTAGACGACAAAATTTCTAGGAAAGCAATCATGTATAGCTATGACCAAGTTTCTACAAAAACATTCATTTGATACTACGTTGAAATTATTAGGTCTAAGTAGAGGAGAGGGGTAAAAGAGAATAGAGATTTCAAATGAAAAAAATAGCAGATTGATATGTGGCGTAAATAACGTGTTATAAAAGGAAAGGCACGAACTTTAGTCCTACTTGGAATTAGGTTAATTCTAGAATCTAAGTTACTAACCAAATAAGGGAACAAATAACTTTTTAAATATGGTTGCAAAGAAGATATGATCCCTAAAAATAAGATAACATTATTATCCATACTTATCCTTTCGGAGCAAAACAACACAAGTAACATGGCATACCGTATAGGGACCAAAGTCCTAACAAGATGAAAGAATAAGGAAAAGGTTCATAAGGAATAAAGAAATCATACTTATTTATAAATAAGCTTATTGAGAGACTTACCAGCATTCTGCGATTTTTCTGCCAATGCTGTAGTTGCTCCTGTTGTGATCGTTTAGGAGCCGATGGACGTCCGTCGCTTTGAAGTGTTCCGCTTCTGTTAATTCCAACAGATAAGTCTTTTTCTTGAAGGTTAGTACAGTCGAGCGGCTTACATAATCCAAAATCTGATAATTTCATGTGACCGCTTCTATCCAGCAGCAAGTTGTCAGGCTTGATATCTCTGCAAACACAATTGAAAATCAGAAAACAGAATATTTCAAGATCCATGTCATAAAATTAAGTATACTGCATTATTGTCAAATGTGGATCGCGGGAAATATAGGTTTGTTCAAATTCCGTTACGGTAAGACAACACTTTGTTGTACTAAGTGCACCGCAGAACAATAGAAATTTGTTAAACTTCCACTACACTGAAGTGCCGCTATAGTTGCTATTTGACAACACTGGTATACTACCATTTGGTGTTATAACTTACAGCTAAAATTTACCTATGAATATAGTTATGTTTATGAATAGACTCTATGGCTAGCACAGTCTCCCCGATATAGAACCTAGCTTCATCTTCAGTCAGTATATCTTTCCGCATTAGCAGTGTCATCATATCTCCACCAGGTAGATACTCCATTATGAGATATAAATACTCGTCATCTTGAAAAGAACAATAAAGCTTTACAATGCAATTGCTGTCAACTTCTGCTAGAAGGTTCCTCTCAGCTTTGACATGTTCAACCTAAAACATATAAAAAAGTCCAATAAGTAAATGAAATTTATATTTACGCTTTCTAACAATGTGATAACTCCAATACCTGTCCTCTACGAAGCATCTCTGATTTCTTAAGCTTCTTCATAGCATATACATGCCCAGTTGCCTTCTCCCGGCAGACTCTAACCTACAAAAAGATGAAATTGCAAAATCGTAACGGATTACACTGTTACAGAAATGTGAGCTATTTATGCAGCAAAAACATCCTCGCCAAAAGAGATTGTGCAATAAAAACCATTTCACTTGGAGACATATGTATACCTCTCCAAACGCACCCTTCCCAATCATAGTCATGGGCTCAAAGTCATCAGCCCCCATCTTATGTCTCTGAAGGCGCATGATCTCTGTCTCCTTTTTCTCCAAATACTTAAGCAAATTGTTCTGCTCTTCCTCGGTGACTTCAGCATCAGCCAATTTCTTTTCTAGCATATTACGTCTGCAAAGAGTAATAGATTTAGAATTATTAGACCAAACACATATTCCATTTGCAGACATTGTTTGTCCGTAATGCATATGGCTACAACCGAGACCATATGGAAATTGTATCAAGAATTCCATACATAACTATATTCCGAAATCCAGTATCAGAGAATAAGGAAATCATTTATTTTTATCAGCTTAGACACGACACCGAGTACACAAAAATAACTATTTTATATGGTAAAATGCTCTTCAATATAACATTAGATTCATATAAGTTATACCTTTCCTTCCTCTCCTGCAGGCTCTGCATCTGCTTCTTATAATGATTTTCTATGTAATGCTTTGCCGCTTCAACCCTCTGTTGAGTTGCACTTGAAGGCGGATCTTCATTGATCGGTGGTTTCGACCCTTCTTTCGCCTTGCTTGCAGCTTCCTTATTTTTTGACCTGAACTTACTAAGCCAGCGCCTCGTAGCTTCCATTCTATATGTTCACCTCTTAAGTTGCCGTGCCGTATCTTCCACTTCGCCAAACACCAAAGACGATAGGTTTCGCCAAACACTAAAGACTATCAGACAGCTATCTACACTGCAACACAACGGTTTTTGATGTCTCTAGTATCACAATCGCAATTTAAAACCTGGTAAAAAAACGATGAAAAATTGAAAACTGATGAATCACTCACTAGTCACTATGCAGTACAAAACAATTTAAAAAACGAAATTCAAAACTTCTAGTTTCTCTCAAATCACACCACATACACACAAACACAAGAACAATTGAATGAAAACATTGAAACACCAACAACCAACACAACACAACACACCACACCACACTGGGATTCAATAACTCAACTCTCGTGAGCTTCAAGGAAACTAATCAAACTACAATCTTTCCAAACCCAAAATGTCTAATCACATAAAAAGGAAAAGAAAAAAAAAGAAAAAAAAACACATCTTTTTCCAACCCCACATGTTTTCACCTAATCCAATAATAGGAACAAGACCCCATTCAAAAACACACAAATCCAAGTCAATACTAATCCACAAACAGTAAAAATAAAACTAAAAAAATTAGAACTTTGAATAAAACAAACAAAAAGGTATTATATTATATAAACCTTGAATTATGATTGATGAATCTGAAGATTATGCTGAAACTGAAAGAGTGTTTGTGTATGATGTTGTTTTTGTTGTTGAAGAGTAAAGTCTAATGAAAGAGATGAAGTTGTTGCAGTGATTGTGACTATGAAACATGAAGATTTTTATGAACAAATGTTTTCTTCACTTTTTGGGTTTTGTTTTTGCTCTGAAAAAAAGTTGAAAGCACTCTTCAATATATATATATATATATATATTAATTAATATGAATTAAAAAAAAAACGCGTTTTTACGCGGAATCAATGGTTTCAATTTCAACCTTACCCAATTTACGGAGAATATTTTATATTTTAAATGTATAATATTCTTTTTTGATAATTGTTATATGCTATTTAATTTTAAATTTTAATAATAATAATATATATTATTAGTTTTCTATTAAATGATAATAAAAAATAGTTTACATTATCAATACATATAAATTAAATTCATAGTTAATTAGCATAAAAACATCAAATAGTTAGTTAGCATAAAAAAATCAAATAGTTAGTTACATCATTTTATCAACTGCCACTTCATTACATATTACATGCACTTGAACTTATAAAAGATTTAATATTGGAAATAATTTATCTGCTCATCACAAAAAGTTGAGTAAAGTGTTTTCCACCAATCACATCATAGCATTTAGTTTTATTCTATTTAATTATTTATTAAATAATATATTTGGATGATTTTCAAATCATTTTATATTAAAGATAATTCTACCCATTTTTTTGTGTTAAGTAGATAAGAATTCACCATTAATTTATTGTATATTTCAATTAAATATTTTAAAATATTTATAGGAAAAAGAGAGATGTTTGAGTTGGATCAAATTTTGTATAATATATTATTCAATCTATTTAAATTTTAGAGATTGTTTCTCCTATCATGAGTGATAGAGAAGCACTTTATGCATATTTAAAAAATATTTGTGGAAGTGTATTTCTGAACGCATTGATGTTATATCGAAAAAAAATTTAAGTGAGACACACTTCTATTTTTCATAAATTTAGTTTGAAAATGTATTTTCGAACACACATCATCTAAGATTTTGCTTATTTAACAATTCTATGACGAATTCGAAAATATATATCTCGATTTGTGAAGCGGAAATTTGAAAAAATATCACCTTTTCAATAATTTTAGAAGTGTGTTTCTTGAAATATCAAGCGAGAAATTTAATAAAACAGCATTTTGCATGTTCTTCTTCCTCATTATCAAAGACCCATTTTCTCTCAAAACCTTTAAAAAACTTCCTTTCATTCTCAATCAACTTTTACACTTCAAAACATCATTTTTGTGTTTTATCACATTAAAAGGAGCAAAAGAAATTAAAATTTAAGGTAAAGTTCAAGTATTTCATTCCTTATTGCTTACATGGATCTTGTTTTTAAGCTGAAAAAATATATGTTGTGTCTGGAAATGCATTTTTTTATTCTAGTTAAAAGTCATTTGAAAGTGTAGTTCTGGATTATTTAAGAGTTCAATTTGGTCTGCTTTTTTGAATAGTTTTTGTTATTATTTGCCTTAAATATGGTGCACTCTGATGTTTTTTCACAAACATATCGTGTCTACGAATGTCAAATCTATTGATGTCAAGGCAGATGTTGGCAATCAATTTACAAATGGACAAGAGTTTGATGTTTGTGATCATATGCTCCAACGGATCTGCATAGAAACTGACAATTTAGGTTTGGCATTGTGATCGGAATGTCAGATAATGGTTTAGATAAAAGACTTGCACTTGTGACACCGAAATGCGAAAGAAGTGGCAAGTACATAACTTATTTTCAGTAGTTGAAACGGGATGACACTGGTTCGAGAAAATGTAATTATCCGTTTAAGTTGCGTGGATATCTTTTGGCAAATAATAAATGAAAATTTAATGTGATTTGTGGCACATATAATCATGAACAAGTCACATGTTAGCTGGTAATTATATTACATGTTTGACAATGATGAAGGATAAAGAAAACACATCGAAGGTCATCGTCACCAATCGTGATAGCGCATTGATGAGTTTAGTTACAAAGGTGTTTCCTACTTCATATGCATTACTTTGTAGGTATCACATAACAAAGAATATCGACTTAAACCTATGGTAGGGACTAAATAAATAAAGGATGGAGATAGAAAAATGGTCAAAGTTAGAGTGATAATAGAAATAATAATAGATACATGGAATGTTATAATAAATTCTTCTATGAAAAAGTTATATGTCAATTATGTTATACGTTTCACGAAGGTGTCTGAGAAATATCTAGATTTCTTGAAATATGTTGACAGTACAATTTTGGACCATGTGAATGAGAAAATCATTTGTGCTTGTACCAATCAGGTTAGATACTTCGAAAATACAATAACTAAGTGAGTTTAATCTGCCCATGCTACACTGAAGAATTGATTGGAAAATAATAAAGGTGATTTATATAGAGATTGAAACTTTGTTGACTAAATAATACAAAATTAGCATAATTAAATACATACATCATTTGGCCGCAACATTACAGTGTTGAAACACAGATTCAGAGACAACAATCTCTATTCACAGTTGGTCGGTAACATATCTCAAGCAGGACTGAATTTTATTTTCACCAAACCAAACAAACTGAGAAAGTAGGATCCAATATCTCAAAATATGGTTGTACACTTAGGAAGACTTATGGTCTCTCGCGTGCTTGTTTAATTTCAAAGGTTAAACTTGATATCCCAATACGAATGGATGAGGTTTGCACTCATTGGAAAAGGTTTAGTTTGATGATGATGGTGTGATGAAGGAAACTAAATCAAATATCTCTATCTAGACCAAATGGAAAGAGATACAAGAGAGATTTTTAAAAGCCAATGACAACATGAAACTCCACATCAAAGAGCAAATGAAGAAGATTGCTTATCCAAAAACCATATATTTGAAACCGTTTTCTCAGCCTATAAAAACAAAATGTGTTCCTAAGAAGGTCAAACTAACATTAAGTGACAACTCAACGATGCGGTCTCCTTCCTATTTTGAACATGTTGACAAACTTTTTCCGGATTCTCCAACTTCAAAATCTCAACAAAAAAAAAGTGTTTTCAAATGAGCTTGCATTATCAAATTATCTCTTACACCACCTTTACCAAAAATATAATACATCAAAGAGATGTTGGTTTTTATGCACAAATACATTAAACATATTATTAATATTGAGGGTGACGGTAACTGCAGTTATCGAGTTGTTTTTGCTTTGCTTGATAAAGGAGAAGATAATCATACATTTTCCCGCCAATAACTTATCAGAGAGTTGAATGTGCATAAAGAGTCATACACATACGAGAAAAAAAAGAAAATTTTGATGCAGTTCATGAATCTCTTATTCCTTATATTAGTTGTCTGACACTGGAGGAAAAATGGATATATTTTCCTAAGATGGGTCATCTTATATTAGGTGTATATAATAGGGTATGTGTTGATCTGACAAGATACAAGGTCTCAAAAACATTTTTTTCACTGCGGACTTTCCCACCTCAAAGTCCAACTGATCAAATTATGCGTATTTGGTGGCTTTTTAAACCACTACATTTTGTTCAAATTTATTTAAAATCGAGATGTCCTATATGACTGACATCACTAGAGTGAAAAACTCATTCAACAAAGGAAACTAAAACTTGGTCAGATTATTTTATGGATAGGATACGAGAATTCACCTAGTTGAGTTAAACCAAAGTCAAATATGGAACCACCCATAGATATGAATTTAGACGGTGGCACATGTTTTGTATGTAATCTTATATTAATATTAACGATGCCAAATGTATACATTTAAATAGATTTCAATGTATCTCGGTTCCCAAAATTTTCCCCAATTTTGTTTTTTATAACAAGTTATGTTTCTAAAAGAAGTTTTGTGTTAACATTGTAAATACATTTTTGGATGCATCCTGATGTTTAAAAAAAGATATTAACAGGGGTTTATTAGAAACTATACTTCTGGACTCGCCTCATATTATTAAAAAAAGATAGCAAGAGTTTATTCGGAAATGCGTTTCTGGACTCACTATAATTTCACTAAAAAAAATAGGGTGTATCTGAAAGTACATATTTGAATTATCCCTTGAGATAGAATTGAGTTTGTAAGGTCCATATCGATTTAAAATTTGTATAAATATGGGTGATAAACTTGTTAGTACAAATACATAAAGAACATACACAATGTTTCAATATGCATATATCACTTTTGTCTACTTCAACGACGAGAATCTCTCTCTTCAATTTAGGTTCTCAGAGATAACTTGTTTTGTTAGTTTCAAATAAAAACTAGAGAAATTGTACCCCAACAATTTGAAGAGTTGTAAAACTC